TTCTTTGACAACCTAGCTTTTTTACATGGTTAAATGTGTGAGGCTTTATCAAGAAGAACATTTGAACATAAAAATATATATAATTTAAAATTATTATCAAGAAAACTTTCAAGAGATGAGGACCAACTATACACAAAAAGAATTTTGTTCATGTGAAATACTAGAAAAAAGGATAGACATACTCCTATATATGTTGTTACTACAATCTAATTAAAAACATCTTAGGTGTGAAAAAAAAATGTAGTCAAAAATGAATTCAATGTGTGACTTAAAGGAATGAAATCAAAATTGGTGGCCAAACTGGTAGCTAAATGTATAGCATTGATAAGAATTTTACAGCAAATATTCATTCAATAATTAGCCAGGCCATGTTTTTTGTTCAATTTGGCACATGATGGTGAGTAAAACAGAACATTGTGGTGTGGGTATTGTACTTTGCAAATGCTTTTCTAGTTTTGTTTTGCAATACTGTGATTTTGCAGTACGTTGTATTTAACAATTTGAACTCCAAATTTTAATTGTTATTCTGTCAGAAGGATGCCTAGTTGGTTGTGTTCTGTGTAGAGGTATAGTCAATATAAATTGCTCTTTGTAGATAAGTTTATGGTAATGATAAGTACCACTATACATTTTTCCACCTGCCCTTCTTTCAGGCAGTGTGATAAGACCAGTTAATAAAGTATGTTAGAATGAATAAGTATGGTCTGTTGATGGAACATTAAATTTTGTCATTAACAGGATGGAGTGGTGTGTCTTAGTTAAAAAAACAAAATGTATATATATAAAACTAATTGCACTCTAAATTTAGTTGTCAACAAACTTCATAATGAAGTAATTTTCTTGGAATTGGCTATGGCATTATCACACATTTTTTAATCTACCAGTATTAGCTATTCAAAGGAGGTAAAACTTCAGATATGTAACCCTCTCTTTTATTTCTGGAACATCAGTAAACAATAGGAAAATGCCTGATGAGAGTTGCACTGGAAATTATAAGCCAGTTAGACTTATTTTTCTAATGAGAAAATTCTAGAGAGTGTTAAAAGAACTTTGCAACGTCACTTCATAAAAATAATAATAGAGAACCAACATGAAGTTACTAGAGGGAAATCTTGCTTTCCTGATCTCTATAGACTTATTTTGAAGATGTTACTTTTTATCTGGGTGATGAAACAAGTGTGAAATTATCAGACTGAGACTTTGAAAAAAGATTTCCTTAATGTGCTATGCAGAAGACTGACTAAAGTAAATCACATCAGTTAGGGGTTGGGGAAGACTAGCTAATTGGATTGTATGGTAGCTTGGAGAGAAAAAGCTAAAAAGTTTTTGTTAATGGAGTCCAGTCAGATAGAACTATTGTTACTAGTGATGCATCTCAGGAGTCAGTGGTTTGCTTTTGCTTACTTAGGTTAATGATATTGATATGGATATAATTAAGTTTGCTGATGGCATTAAACTGTTGATATTTGTAATTGCACTGAGGAAGTTGTGGTATTTTAGATTGACTTAGATCAATTGGTAAGTTTGACAGATAAGTGGTAAATATGTGGTATACAAACTTACCATATGTTTCCTACTCTTTTTGTTAATATATGTATTTTTCAAAATTTTTGTACATATTGAGCATGTTTTCTTAAAAAAATAATAAAGCCAGTCAAGACAGCCAACCATAAAGTTCCTCTCACCATAATTACTCATGGAGCTAGGTTATTCATTTAGGGTATTACATGTGCTTTTTTTTTTAAAAGAAAGTTATAATGTAGAACAAATTGTACAGAAAGTAACAGTACTATTTTCATCTGGCAGTTCAGATGATGCCCCAGGAATATAACATCCCTTGTTTTTGCAGTAAGAGTGATTATCAGTTATTTGGGTAGTGCCTGTACCATGAAATATATGACATTGTTGTTCTTCATATATATTGCTATGTTTTATCAGTCTGAAACAACAGAGAGGATAACAAATATTTGAGATTGAAACATATACTGACTTGCTTTTAATTAAACATACTCCAGTCAAGGTGCTGAAACACACTTACCTCAAAAAGCTCTGATTGTGTTTGTTAATGTTGAAAATAAAGATTGTTTCATTATGTGATACACTGTGTCCAGTATCTTTCTTTACTTCAGATACAGTCAAGGTTAGGAAAATTCAGATTCTGCTCTGCAAAACATTTTCTGGTTAAATTCTAATTATTTTTCAGTACCTACTTGAATACTCAAAGGTAAATTGGTAAATCTGAGAATGCTACAAATATATAACCATTAATTATATTAAATGCAAGGTAATGCATATGAGTTCTCAGAATTTAAGTCACATTTAATATAGATAGGAATCTGCTTAATAGCTTATCTGAAGAAATGTGAAATATTGATAGATAAGTCACTCAAACAATCAAGGCAGTGTTCTGTTGGTAGTAGTATAGATAATAGAATTTTAGTGTTTACTTAAAACATTGGTTAGAAGTCAAAAGAGGTAGTTATTTATTTATGAAATTCACTAGCTAAACTTCACTTAGAATGTGTATAGCTTTGGTCTCCTGTTGGAAGTAAAGATATTGACTTAATGGAAAGGACTCAGAGGAGCTACTTGGTTAATTCTGAAGATGGAAGTATTATCTTATGAGGATACGTTAAGATCTCTTTAACTGACTTTAATACGAGAAAATAAGGGAAAGATGTGATCTTATTAAAGTTTACAAGATTATCCTGGGAATTGGTAGTATAAAGTTTTAAGAATTCTTTGTGCTGTATTCTAAAGACAAAAGTAGGAGAGGACACAAACTTATGGTTCAGAAAAGACAGGTTAGGCTTCAGTTAAGAAAGTTTTATTTTTCTGTTCTAGCAGTGTTTTTATGTGTCTGGTTTAATAACATTTTTCATTTTTTAGGATATAATTATGTGTAAGAGTACTCTGGATTTAAAAACTATGCATAATCAGTTTTAAGGCTATAGCAGTAAACCTAATATCAATGTGTACAAAAGCATAAAATGTAATGATAATATTTTTATTGAAAAAACGTTTATGAAATATCTATATTAATTCTTATTAAATGGCTCTCTCAATTTCTGATATGGTACATTACCTCCTATCACATAAATAGCTATTCTTGTTCAGTGCTGCCCTCTATAATATGCAAATCTTTTTGCACAAACCTTGAAACTCCCACTCATCTGGAATTCACTGATTCCAATGCGTCTCATATGCAAATCATGAGACAACCCTCCACCAATAAGGATGTGACATATTCTCTTGACACATGTGACTCCCTCTTTTCAATGCTACCAAACTGTCACTTTTCTATTGGCAGTACTCGTATAATTTAAACTGACCTACATTCTAGACACCATGTTTAAATACTAGGATGTTACTTGCAATTTTTTTTTCTAAACTAAGTAGTATCAAAAGATTTGCAAATACTTTGTGAGAGAAGTAGTCTCCATTCTCATCAGTGATGCTTTTCCATCTTACAATCAGGTTGTTAGTGCCCTGATTAAAGAAATCACTTGGCTTTGAAGCAAAAAACATGTATACGTCTTTAACACCTTCCATATTTGCATATATTTTCCAATTAAGATGGTGTTGCAGCAAATGAAAAAGATGGTAGTCTGATGGTGCCATATCTGGAGAATATGGTGGGTGGGGGAGAACTTCCCAACCCAACTCCATAATCTTGTGTTGCGTCAAACGTGCCACATGTCGACGTGCATTGTCATGGAGAAGAATATCACCTTCCCGATTGACAAGTGAAGGGTGTTTCTGATAAAGGGCTTGATATAAACATTCCTGTTGCTGGCTATAGATTTCTGCATTGTCAGTTCACTGTGGATTGAGTTTAGAACTGAGCTATCATTTTTGGCATTTAATATTCACATAGAGAATTCATTTTTCATCACCAGTGACAATTCTGTCCAAAAATGGTTCATGCGAATTACGTGCCAGAAGAGACAAAGCAATGTTTACACACACACTGGAAACGATGATCATCGGAGAGTTCATGAGGCACCCAAACACCTTCTTTATGGAGTTTTCCCATATTCCTTAGATGTTTACATATTGATTCATGAGAGACATGCAATTTCAGAGCCATTTCACGAGAGTGTTGCTTTGGGTTAGACTCAACAAGTGTCTTCAGATCATCAATACCAATTCCAATATGTCAGCCCCTACCATCACAGTTTTAAAGGCTAAAGTCACCTGAACAAAATTTGCTGAACCATAGTTGACACTTATGAATGTTCAAAACATTTCCATAAACTTCCTTCATATTCTTTGTGGCTACAGAGGTGTTGTTTCCTTTCTTGTATTCAAATAGCATTACTTGCCAAATGTGTGCCATCACTATAAGGGGTTAGAGTATACTAATCTTTACACATTATATAGGTGTACTTTGGTGACAGATTTTCTTGTAGGCAGATTGTGTCAAACAAGACCGATGTCTGTAGGTTTACTTTCTTCTTAGAATTCTTCTCAAGAAGTCGATAAGCCGTCTTGATGTTGTTAGAACAGCGGGTAAAAGTTGTAGCTAGTGATGAGTTGGCCGACGCGTTTCGGATGCATTCTCCATCCATTATCAAGGCTGAATATTGTGTGAATTGTGATTACTGTTGGTGGATATTTATAGGTATGGGTAAGCAGGTGGTGGTATCTAGCTCGTGGAAGGCATTAATTGGTGGAGTGTTGTATTGTGGCTTGGGGGTTTCTCGCCAAGAAGTAGCAGCGTGCGTGCTGTTCTTGAATACCCAAACTTCCAAATTCCCATAGGAGTGATGTAAAAGTGAAAATATTTGTGTCCATGCTATACGTTTGAAAAAATGATTTATTGCTTACCAAGTTCAACATGATTATTTATATATAATTTTTAATAAATGTTTTGAATAACAAACAGTGTGGTGGGTAACTTGAATGCTATGTTGTCTTGTTTTTGTGTGTGCATGAAAAATGACACTGTTCAAGAATGTACTTGAAAAAATTATATATTTGAAGTTATTTCTTTTCAGGGAGCACATTATGATTGGATATTTGATATCAAGTGGCTGGATGACCAATTTTTTGTGTCAGGTATAATATTTTACTGTAACATATGAAACAAAGAATTTTTAAATATCTTATATATGTACATTGCTCAAAATAATAAAACAAGAAATAACTTTGTGATTATGGTTCAACCAGTAGCTTATTTGTTTCCTGTGGAAAATATTTATATATTTCCAAAGCAACAACAATTTAGTGGCAATAAAATAAGTTTGAAGCTCATGAAATCTGTCATAGTTTTTGTTATAATATATTTACTGATTATTTATTTATTCTATAAAATATTCATTACAGCATGGATTGAAATTCTAGGAAACAAACATATATACTAATAGGTTAGCTAAATTCTACAGTTTGCTTTTTTTACTCATCCAAAGACTAATGTAACTCATAAGACAGTACTTGTGTGTTTCTTGCTTTTTCATTAAATTTGTAAAGAAATTTTAATGATGAATGGAACCAGAACTGCACTGACTATAGTTACAAGAAATAGCTTTCTCCCAAGTTCATGGGAAAATAAAAGCTCATTGTGAATAAGCATGAAAGTCTATTATCTATCAATGGCAAAAGTCCTAGTTTGTGTATTCACTTGATGAATGAAAAAACACAACTGCAATACAATTTGTCAAACACAATTTATTTTTCTGGAAAACTTATTTTGGATATATGTGTAAGATGCTAAATTGAAGTTTCAGTTCGAAATATGAATATCAGTATCATTTGTGTAACATCGAATATCTGGTAATGCTTCACAAAAAACAATAGTTTCATTTGATTCACAGGACTGGATCATAGAACACATGGATTTACAACATGCTGGTGTTAATGTCTGGAATTTTCTTGGAAATCATAACTATGATATAACAGAAAGAATGTTTGAAGATCTAATCATTTTATAGATTGATTATATGCCTAGTAAGTAGTAATGCAGCAAACATTGCAAAAAAGGTTCTAATAATGTTAGATTTTGAAATTAATCATGCTTCTTCTACACATTTCAAATTGTGATTGTGAATGTTCTGGAATCCCAGTGATCTCAAAACTATCAGTAGAAAGATTGTTATACATTTTAACTTCTTATCTCTAGCATGTTCAAACTTAGTAGCATCACAAAATGATCCAAGTACGCTCCATAGAAACCTTCATTACACTGTTTCTTTGAAAGGTTTTTGAAACAAAAGGAATAGTATGCCACATATAACAACATCAACCTCAACAACATGAATGGTACCAGTTAGAGGAATCCTTAAAATGCTACAACCTTACAACTATTTGCAAAAACTACTAGAAACATTAGGTTCAAGACCTCGGTTGTTTCTGAAATTATTCTAACTGTGATTAGAATAATTGCTATTTGTTAAAGGACAACCCAAGCCAGTTTGGACTGTGAACAGTGAAGTCATCCTTGTGAAATAAGCTTGAAACTAGATTTGCTGAAACACAAAACAATCCAAATTCCACTTTACTTTGTTTGACTCTCACTTTAAAGTAGAATGTTTTAAAGAACATCAGACGTAAGCAGTGAACGGTTTGTTGGAGAAAGTACTCACACTTCCTATTTCACAATCAAATTAGTGGAAGTGATGCAGATGGCCTCTCACCATTAGCAGTGCCACCTGATAAAACTTTATAGCAGAAGACACATTACTCATTCTTGATTACTACAGTGAAATATATGCAAAAATCTGTGGCATAAAGTATATTGGTCAAACAGATCAGGACATAAAAATTGCTGTCACCAATGAAATTATTTTTATCCCTGCTCTTTTTAATATGAAAATGTAATCTTTTAGTGTGGTATAATCTGTACAGACACATTTCCAGTACTATCTCAGTTAGCACAAAAATTACTATCAGCCACAACAGCAGTGTGTATAATGAGCAACTGTTCTTAGAAGCTGGCAACATATATGAGGCAAGGAGAAACCAACTGCTTAAAATGCAAAGTGGCTACCATTCTCTAATTACAGCATCAAAACTTTTTAAGTACTGAACAGTGATATTTGAATTAAAAATCCAAACAAGAAAGTGAATATGGCAGTGTACCTTCGATAAGTGATAGGCAATGATTTTAATTCCAAAACATACTTTCCTCCACTACCACTTATAGCTATTACTCAACTGCCAGGGTTTCAACTTTGCCCATCTAAGCATTGGTCAGATTTTTTCTCACTTTCTCTGGTCTTTTTATACCCCACTTAATTGCCCTTAGTGTTATTTGTCTTGCGATACTCTCCACCTTTGTCAATACACCCTCTATCCTGGTACAGTATATAAGCACCTCATTTGGATAATTTTATCAGTTTTTCTCAACAAAGTGTTTAGACACAGATTTGTCTAAAGAAGTGCTGTGATGGTTAATGTGCTTGGTTGTGATATTTGTATCACCTAGTTGATTTCTGTACAAATTATATTTTCCTACTATCTTCATTTACTAGGTTGGCTTCTCATGAGGGCAATTTGAATCAACCACTTCCTGTTCCATTTCTTCAGTTAGTCAATCCAGTTTGTGAGGTTTTGAGGCTTTCCCTGGTTGCCTTTAAATCTACTCCTTACTTGATGGCTTAGAGGTCTGAGGGCGACTGCTTAGTTTTTCTTCCTTCACCTGATATTGCTGTTCATGCTGGGAAGTTTACATCTCAGTTACATGATGTGATAGGTATGCCTTGTCCCCCATGTTTGTTGGAACAGCATGCTTTGGCTTACCACCATCAGGAGGAAATATATTTAGATTCACAAAGACTTGATCCTCTTTTGGATATGTGGAGTTCCAGACTGGACTCTGTGATCATTTTGAACAGATCACAATTTTCTCAGATTCATCTGATTCTCACTACTGTTTTAAGATTTTGTCAGAAGCCTCGTCTACCTGCTGGTGCTCTCTGTGAGTTACATGATGCTCATTTTCTTTGTCCCTTGATGTTTGCAGGCATTGGAATCACGGATTGATGTTGCCCATTTGCATTCTTCCTTGTCATTATTGGTCTCTAGACTTTCTTTGGCTCCTGCTGGAAGTCATGGCACAACTGCAGGTTGTTTGTCCCAATCCCAGCTTCAGCTTCTTGACCTGTTGATACTCACAATAGATTGCATCCTTATCTTAGAGGTTCCTCCGCTCAGGCAGCCCATCACCAACAGCATCGATGACTACCCTATGCCAGTGGGGTCTGGGGAGCGAGGTTAAAACATTTTCTGGACGTTTGAAAACACTTCACCACAGATCCATGGGTACTTCAGGTTTTGGCATCAGGGTTGATCATTCAGTTCACTTCTCCACCTCTTTTATCCTCCCAACCTGTGGTATTTCCACAGAGTGTGAATCTTTGTTCCAAGGCTATCAGAGAGTTGTTGGTCATGGGGTGGTGGAGAGAGTCAATCCCTTTCTTCTGGGATTTTATTCCCATTTAATTGTTGTGCCCAAGAAGATGGGAGATTAGCATTTAATCATCGATCTTTCTCGTCTCAACCAATTCTTAGATCCTTCCAGATTCACAATGGAGTCCTTTTTCAACCTACATTGTCATTTTTCATCAGGTCTGTGGATGACCAAGTTGATGTTACTGATGCATATCTCTGTATTCCCATAGCAAAGTAATCCCACTGTTATCTACGTTTCATGCACAAGGGTCAAGTTCTTCAGTTTAGGACTCTGCCCTTTGGCCTAGCATCTGCACCATATGTCTCCTACAGAGCCATACAAGCTTTTTCTCTTCACCTTCATTCGTTGGGCCTGTGCACACACCATTATATGGATGACTGGTTACTTCTGGCACCATCTCACCAGTTAGCAGAACAACATACTCAGATTCTCCTTATAAAATCCACCATGGCTGACTTTCTTACCAGAGCCGAGAAATCCATTCTCTTGCTGACTCATACATTGTCTATCTGGGTGTCTTTTTTGAACACATTATTAAGCCAGACTCAGCTGACTTCCATTTGGCTTCAGGCTATAGAACAGGCAGTTAGGCTGTTACTCACATCTCCTTTTCCTACTGCACAGATGGTTCTTTCTCTTTTCTCTAATTCCTTTAGGATGAGCACGCATGCAATTCCTTCAGTGGTCACTGAATGACCAGTGGATCATGAACTGTAATCCAGTGGATCATCCTGTCTCCTTACTCAAGAGCAACATCTTAGATCTCGAGTGGTGGTTGGATCAGACCAACACTACCATTGGTATTTCTGTACTGCCACCTTATTCTGAGATTCATCTTCTCACAGATGCCTATATCGACAATCAGAAATTCCAGGGTCCATAGATGAACAATGAATCTTCCTTCCACATTAATATTTTAGAACTTTTGCTGTCCAACGGACAATGGTTAAAAGTCTAGCTTGATTGAGGGGGAAAATTGTCATTATTCATTCCGACAATTCAACAATAGTATCTTGCATTTCATGTCAAGGGGGCATGCGTTCACTCCCATCATATCAACCTCCTGGCTTGCTATGTTCAAGGGGTGTTGAATTTAATAGCAGACCACCTGTCTCAGCCCAACCAAATTCTCTCGACTGAATGGATGCTTCATCGCAAGGTTTTCCGGTGGATTTGCTATCACTTCAGGACTTCAATGATCGATGCATTCACCACACCTTGGAACTCTCAACTACTGGCATTTTGGTCCCTGGTACCTCATCCTTGAGCTTTGGCAACAGATGCATTCAGTCAAGATTGAACAGGATTGTACCTCTATGCTTCCCCCCCCCCCAATTCGTTACACAGAGTTCTGGCTGTAGTTCGATCCACTCCTTGTTGAGTGCTGTTGGTAGCTCCAGATTGGCCAGCCCACATGGTTCCCTCTTCTACATTATCTTCAAGAGTGTCCACCTCTGCTACTTCCTATTTGCTCATTTCTGTTGAAGCAACTTTGATTCAACATTCTACCCCTAGACATTCCCAAGCTCTAACTAAATGTATGGAAGTTATGCGGTCCTTTGCACAGCATACAGGTTTAACGTTTTCAGCATAGGCTTGTAATTTATTACCTAGGTAAAAGACTAGCATGACAAAGTGAATAAAAGAA